GGAGTCCAAGCATTCAAAGAAGTGTAAAGGTATGTTCAATACGTTTAATTAATAACCACTAATACATTTTCCCAATGTGCCGACAAAAAGGTTGAAAGTAATCAGTTGGTGAAAAGTTAATTAACTCAATCTTTCAGAGTTCAGAACAGGGTGGCTGTGCTGTGCTTCAAAACACTTCATTTTGGGTGGGAGGCCTTTTATCCAGAAAAGAAAAGACAAAAACAAAAATTTAAACTCTATACAAACTCAACAGAGAAAAAGAAAATAAGCAAAACCAAAGTCAAGAATGTTACTGTCAAAGAACTCAGTTAGCACTTCTTTTTTTTTTTCTGAAGACCAACCTACTTTTGAGAGGAAATAAAAGAGCTGAACAGAAGATTTCAAAGGGTGGCTAGAGAAGAAAAAGTAAATAAAATATTTGTGTTAGATTGGGTTCTCTAGAGAAACACAAAAAACCAGCAAAGTGTATATATATTTATTTAGAGAGAGAGAGAGAGAGAGAGAAAAATTTATCTTAGGAAAATGGCTCACAAGCGTATAGAAACCGACAAGTCCAAGCCGAAAAGTCCGTCTCTGGAGGAGATGGGGCTTGTGGCCGCCTTGGCTTCCACAAGCACAGGGGAGCCAAGAGATTCAAGCTGGCATGCAGTATACTGGTTGCTGATTCCAACAAAAGATGAATCTGAGATCTCCAGGCCGAGCGGTGGGCCGCTCACTCAAGGAAGTCTGTAGTTCCCACACCAGGTTTCCAATCCCTTAAGGAATGCGGCTCTTCCAGGTTGTCCTTGGATATCATTGCAAGCAGGCCACGCCCCTAGGGAAACTCCCCTTGGGCAGACTGGCCACTCAGAACACGGTCATCTGATCCCATCATGGGAACAACCACACAGAACTGGATCCAGCCAAGTTGACACACAGCTCCAACTATCACAGATATCAATCTTTATGTGTTCAAATTCATTTTTTATTTACAATTTTCCCAGACTCATATTTTGTACATTCCATATTAATGAATGTTTACAGCTGTTTCTTCTCATTTTGAGTCATGCAACGTCAGCAAATTAACACAAATGACTGAAGACCAGATGAGTTGTGGGATGACATCAGGAAATAATACATGAATAAAGCAAAAGATCATTAAAAAGACAAGGAAGAATGAAAAGACCAAAATGGATGTCAGAAGTGACTCTGAAACCTGCTATTGAACCGAGAACAGATAAAGCGAATGGAAGAAATGATGGAGTAAAAGTAGTTGAACAGAAGTTTTCAAAGGGTGGCTTGAGAAGGCAGAGATAGCATTATTATGAAATGTGCAAAGAACTAAAGGTAGAAAACCAAAAAGGAAGAACATACTTGGCATTTCTGAAGGTGGAAGAACTAAAGAAAAAAATCAAGCTTAAAGTTGCAATACCTAAGGATTCTAAAGGTAAAATTTGAACGATGCAGAAAGCATCAAAAGAAGATGGAATATACAGGGTGACTGTACCAATAACAAGTAGTCGACATTCAACTGTTTCAGGAGGTAGCATAGGATCAAGACAAGAATTGATGGTACTGAAGGAGGAAGTCCAAGCTGCACTAAAGGCACTGGTAGAAAACAAGGCTCTGCAATAAATAGAATACCAATTGAGATGTTTCAACAAATGGATACAGTACTGGAAGCGCTCCCTTGTCTATGCCAAGAAATTTGGAAAACAGCTACTGGGCCAACTGACTGGAAGACATCCATATGTGTGCTCATCCCAAAGAAAAGTGATCAACAGAATGTGGAAATTACCAAACAATATCATTAATATCACATGTAAGTAAAATTTTGCTGAAAATAATTGAAAAATGGTTACAGCAGTATGCCAACAAGGAACTCAAAGAATTCAAGCTAGATTCAGAAGAGGACATGGACTGAGGGATATCATTAATGATGTCAGATAGATCTTGGCTGAAAGCAGAGAACAGCAGAAAGATGTTCATTTGTGTTTTATTGACTATATAAAGGCATTTGACTGGGTGGAGCATAACAAATTACAGAAAATACTGCAAAGAACAGGAATTCCAGAATACTTAATTGTGCTCATGAGGGGACCTGTACATAGACCAAGAGGCAGTTGTTTGAAAAGAACAAAAAAATGCAGATACTGTATAGTTTGAAATCAGGAAAGGTGTGTCAGGGTTGTATACTTTCACCATGCTTATTCAATCTGTCTGATGAGCAAATAACTGAGAAGCTGGAAAATTTGAAGAACTCGGCATCAGGACTGCAGGAAAACTCATTAACAACCTGTGATATGCAGGTGACACAACCCTGTTTGCTGAAAGCAAAGACGATTTGAGGCACTTACTGATGAAGATCAGAGACTACAGCCTTCAGTATGGATTAACAGCTCAACATAAAGAAAACAAAAATCTTCACAAATGCATCAATAAACAACATCATGATAAACTTGAAGTTGTTAAGGATTTTATTTTACTTGGATCAGAAAGCAATGCCCATAGAAGAAGCAGCAGTCAAGAAATCAAACAATGTATTGCACTGGGCAAATCTGTAGCAAAAGATCTCTTTAAAGTGTTAAAGAATAAACGTGTCATTTTGAAAACTAAAGTGGCATGATATTTTCAATCACCTCATATGTGTGTGAAAGCTAGACAATGAATAAGGGAGACCAAAGAAACGATGCCTTTGAGTGGTGTTGGTGATGAATACTGAACACCATGACTTCCAGAAAAAGGAACAAATCTGTCTTGGATGAAGTACAGCCAGAATGCTCCCTAGAAGCGAGGATGGCAAGACTTCATCTCTAGTACTTTGGTCATATTGTCAGGAGGGATGAGTCCTTGAAAAAGGATACCATTATTGGTAAAGCAGAGGGTCAGTGAAGAAGAGGAAGACCCTCAATGAGATGGACCAACATAGTGGCTGCAACAGTGGGCTCAAACATAGCAAACATAGTAAGGATGATATAGGACTGGGCAGTGTCTCATTCTATTGTCACTGTGAGTCAGAACTGACTCTATGGCACCTAACAACAACAACAACAATACAGGTAAAATCTGATGGTAAGACTTCTGCTAGGCTTTCTAGCCTCAAAAGGTTGTTTTTTTAGAATATTATTTTACCAT